TGTGTGTGCTTGTGTGTGTGTGTGTGTGTGTGTGTGTGTGTGTGTGTGTATGTATGTATGTTGTTTAATAGTCTCACCTGCACCATGAACATTTTCTGTCCCTTATTTCATCTGTAAGTTGAGTGAAAATTCTGCATTGTTCAGCACTTAGAGCCCTATAAGATTAGGCGTTATAAATTCCCATTATTAATATTATTATTATTGTTGTTATTATTTTATTGTTTTTATTATTGTTACTATTCTTATTGTTATTATTGTTATTATTTTATTATTGATTATTATTATTATTGTTATTGTTATTATTGTTATTATTGTTGTTATTGTTATTATTGTTGTTATTATTGTTATTGTTATTATTATTATTGTTATTATTACTATTAATATCATGAATATTATGATTATTAATATCAAAACCACAAAAGAAACTAATGCAATAATCAATAGTCTCTACAGTGGGCAATTTGGTAATTTCGGTGGGCAGTTGGGGGGTAACCCAGATAGGGGACAAGTCGTGTTATTCAATACTCTACTTGCTTGGAAATACTTGGAAATACACGTAAGAGAGAAGTACTCCCCCCCCCCCACCCCCTACCATTTCCTCTCCCTCTCTTTTTCCCTCACTCACCCTAACCCCCTCTAAAAAAAAATTAGAATTAAAAAATCCAGAGGATTGGCATCTGCGGTTTCGCACCGTGAATACAAAAGGGACTTGTGGGTATATGAAAAAGCACAAATATATATATATGTGTGTATATATAATATATATTATTAATATGATATTTAAATACTTGTTATTTATTACATGGTGCATCATGCCCACAACCCATATATATATTAATATTGTACATATCTTCTTCGGACAGCTGACCAGATATTTCTAACTTACAAGACCAAAATTTCAAAAACTATTCTTATTGCATATATCATAAAATGTATCAGTTGTATGAGCTCGAGAAATGTTGTGGCGAAATTTAACTTCTACGTGTTGAAAAAAAAAGGGAGAAAAAATGTGTCACAGCGCAGTGGAATCTGGCGCTGCTTGTCAATTTTTGGGTGTATGGAGTTATTGGTATAGATCTAATCTTAGTTAAAGCTTTGCTTTTGATGAAAAAAAATACCCATATATTTTATCTTGAATAAAAGTCGAGATATACTGAAGGAGGTGACGCCAACTTGCCGGCAAGAAAATGGCCACCAAAGTTTGGTGACTTCCATCCAAAGCTTGAGAAAAACCGCAAATTTACATTTTTTTTTTGCGCCTTTGGTCAATGCTTTTCAGTAAAATCCACACAGAAATGTGTTGTTAAATTGACATAAATGGGGCTGAGTCTAAAACAGAAAAAATCGATAAAAAAAACCCACCGAAGTGTCGGAAAAATGCGTTTATCTTCTATTTCATTATTTAGACAAGCGACCGAGTTCACCACGTTGCCTCACAAATGCATATGATAATGTAGGAACCGTACAACTGTAAAAAAACAACTAAACAGTCTTTTTCTCTCTTCAAAAATAATGTTTCTTTCTAAACTAAGTACATTTGAACAACCTGCCAGTGACTCGTGTTAATACACGGTCCATTATGTCCCTTCACAGATGAGGTAGTGAGGTTACTGGATGAACAGTTACTTATTTTCCTTTTGTTACTAGATGAACAGTTACTCATTTCCTCATTCTTAAAAAACAAACAAACCCATCTTCGATTGACCAATCAAAAACCAGAAAACAGCCTACAAAACTTTTATTCTAAATCATGTTCGAACATGAACTGCCCATTTTGACATAAACATTATGAATATTTTCAAAGTGGAAAGTATACATACGTTTTGTAACCCAGGACAGATAAAACACAGACAGATCAAGATAAAATTCCCTATTTAAGGGTGAACTTTCGATTGCATAATTAACTATGTAAAATGTAAGTCAAGTTTCCACAAATTGAAGGAAATAATAATATATCTATGAGTGACACACCTCACAATCATGCCCAAGAACATTCAAATCGTACTCTCCCACCTCACAGTCAGCCCATTTACAATTCTACTGTGCATAAGAACATGTTTGGGAATGGTCTAAAGACACTCCAGTCAGTAGCACCACCCTGGGGGGAGGGGGGTGGTACAGTGTCTTTACAAAACAGTCGACAGAGTGAAAGAGAAAAGGGAACACTAGAACACCCATGGACCGGAACTTCACAGTGACCGTAACGATGGTTCCAGTAGGGAACAGGATAGAGGGTGCCTACGTCCCTCGTGACTCATTGGAGCAGAGGAAGATAGGACTAACGCTAACATTACTTAAACGCAATCCCACACCATCACTCATCACCACCATTATTTCTAAAATCATCACCGCTCTCAGATCAAAGACGTACATCAATAATCTTTGAATCTCTATCTGTAACAGTTACTTGTCATAATAAGCATGCACGTAATACACTATTGGACACTATCATATGCACTTTTTTACTACTAACCAATGGCGTAAATCTCTATATAAATGGGCAAGGGATTAGAAAAAAAAAAAAAAACACCCATGGACACTAACTACCCTGTAAAAACACCTACATTAAAAATAAAATAAAAATAGAGCACAAATGGATAATAATTTCGTGACATGTACAGTACAAAAACCTTAGAAATATAACACTCATATATATATATATAATACATAATTAGCACAAATGCCTCTGTTGAATCAAAGCAACACAGAGGTGAACGAGTGAAATATAACAGTGTTCTCGAATAACAATAAAACTACTGCACTTGTTAACAAAAATATATAATACAAAAGTCAATATTAGATTAATGCTCTTGACAAGAGAAGTGAAGACGTATGGAAAGACTATAAATACTGGCGGTAACAACGGAGCCACAACCCGTCAACATACGTGCACATCATTGCGAAATATCGACTTCCAAACTGACCGTTACTGTCCCCATGGTTTTATGCGCCCCGCATAATTTAGCAAAATTTGATCACTTTTTGCATAAATTTCTGATTATTTTACTTTATCATCCTTTGTTAAAAATTAACAGAATCGCATAATTTCACATTTTTGGGTTCAGTTTGAATAATTTCAGAATTTTTCTTGCATAAAACGACGGGCACAGTCAGTATATCTAGTGGCCGGCGGTTCCCAATTATTGAAAAACTCGGAATCGTAGGAATCGAGTCCGAACCCAATTTCTTTCCACTGTGGTGATTTCTTCCGGGCGTCCATGATTTCTTCCAGCGGTTCCGACCCCTAGACAATTACATGATTACTTCCGGAAAAGCAGCAATTATTTCTGATGAATCGTTAGCTAAACGCCCACTAGACGGCTTCAAGCAGCTTCTAGATCCAAGATGACCTCGATTTCGAAACACAGCGAGGCACCAACATTAATTTGTCTTTTCAAAAATTAGTTTTAAAAAAGAAGAAAATTTTCATAAATATAGATCTAGTAATAGGTAACTGTTGGTTCACATAAAAAAGAATGTGGACTTTTCCTTTGTAGTACTAACCGCGGGAATCGGTTCCGGAATCGATTCTTCCCCCAGCTGTACTGCTCAGAGTAAGACTTCATCAACCGTCACTTTTCACAACGGTGCACTGCAGAGTCTTACACTACGTAGCGGAAATAGAGTCTGCTACCTCCACTCTATACACTACGTAGCGGAAATAGAGTCTGCTACCTCCACTCTATACACTACGTAGCGGAAATAGAGTCTGCTACCTCCACTCTAGGAGATATATATGGGCTGATAGGGACCACGATCCATGTGAAAGACTCCACAGAGAGAGAGAGAGAGAGAGAGAGAGAGAGAGAGAGAGAGACGGAGAGAGAGAGAGAGACAGAGAGAGAGAGAGAGAGGGAGAGAGAAAGATAGATAGATAGATAGATAGATAGATAGATAGATAGAGAGAAATAGAGATAGAGAGAGGGGGAGGGAGAGAGAGGGAGAGGGGTAGACTGAGATTTTACGTCGTAACGATATCTTTGGATGGTTTACTTTATTTTATATATAAAATCAGGTGGACGTTTCTAAAACTATTTACACGAATTGTTTCTTCACCCGTCAATTCTCGTATCTCCGTACACAGGTATCTATACATTTTATACATATTTGTGCCATATTAATTCTACATAATGTAAACGTATGCACGGCTGTTAATGCCATTGTTGGATACTGCAGTCAAACCTCTTTGTACCGCACACCGTTACACAGCCAGGTTTCGACAATGTAGGAAAAGGAGAAGACTCTCGGCTCTGAATACATGTGCAAGTACACAGGTATATCACCATCATAAAGACACAGACTGCACAGCTACCAGAATCACGTTCCTTGACGTAGCGCAGTCGGGCGGGGCTATACAACAGGAACCCCCTTTGAACCGCCAGCCCCGCAGTTCCACCAACCCCATGCGGAATAATGAGGTCTGACTCTAATGTCTTATAAAGCACTTTGAGCATTAACCCTATCCGTACCTTGTGTTTTACTATCATATACAACGAGGGGAACTCTGTGCCACCACTTTCCAAAGAGGAAATTCACTCGATAATCCGATCCGCACGCTTTGCATAGCAGTTTGTCAAAATGATTTTTAGAGAAATACTGAAAGTTTCAAAGAGATCTTCGTACTAGAAGTATTCTAAACTATGAAGAATATAACCCCGGGGCTACAAAATGACCCCAGGCCGTACGGATAGGGTTAAAGGAAATGCAAAATATAAATGCCATGTGTTATTATTATTATCATCATCATCATTCGAAAAGTGCCACTCCTAAGGACAATAAAATAACATTTCAAAGGAAAAATTTAATTTTATAAAAGAATAGATAAATGACTCATCTGATTTGTAAAGATGCTCCGATATACCCTCCCATGAACACATCCCTTTTTAAAAATAGTTTTTTTAGTTTTAGTAAGAGTTTTACGGCGCTTGTAACACAATAAGGTCATATAAGTGCCGAAGATTAGAGGTGTTACAAGAAAGTAACAAACATAAAAAAGAAGGAGGAGAGATAAAGACGATAGAAGTTTGATAGGAAAGAAGGAGCAAACCACACCAGAGCACCCGCCAACGACCCACCATCCCTTTTCTATGACCAAATATTCGTGGTGAAACGTCCGTGGGAAGATGTCAACTAGTGACATACCGACACACCGGTCACCCTGATCGGGTTCCTCCGTCGGTCACTCATTTCTCGCCACAACAGGCCTCTCTATTTTCCCGCTCTCCGCTTTGATGTATCATTTCAGGCAGTTGAGGAGGACCATGGACTGATTTTAACATTTTCAATGTCAGATGTAGACGGTTTTCCCCTCATTTCCCTATGCTTCTGTTTCATCCCTGAAGCACAGCTATCTTCATGTCTGTTTTTATGTCCGTGTTTGTTTGTGTGATCAAGGCACTTGGGTCTCTTTTTGCTGATCTCAGAAGCATACCGGCGAGATAGCATCCCGACGAGATACTGATGAGATAGCATACCGAAAAGATACAAATGAGAAAGCATACCGACGAGATAACCTATGGACCAGAAAGACTACGGACACAAAAGCATTTGGGCACAGTTCAATTAACAAAAATGTTCAAGCTTGCTAGCTTTTTTCAAAAACTAACCAGGGACATCCAATGCTATAACAAACCTTCAGATCACCTAAAAATGAACAAAATTACATAAAGAGAGACTGTTTTTGGTGTAGGTGATAGAGTTTTCAAATCGTCAAATCCGAGACAGTCCGAGGAAATATAGTTTAGTTGGCAAGCCCGAAAGTTTGTTTGCCTTTCCCCGCTCAGATCTGCTCACAAAGCACACAGCGCCAGTATTCACACACACACGCGCGCGCCGCGCAAAGTCGCAGCCAATCGCCCAAGGTCACGGCCAATCACACAATCCCAGACTCCTCAATAGGCTGCCTGGACAGGAAGCGGTCAAAGTGGAAGCGACTCAGGTCGATGGTCTGGTAGTCGCCCTCGGTGATGTATTCCATGAGGGCTCGGCCGATCCCCAGCGCGTGTTGCAGGCCGTGGCCGCTGAGGCCGTTGGCGAAGAAAAAGTTCTTGTGGTACGGGTGTGGCCCGATGACCAGGTTCCTGTCGAAGAAGTTGTACTCGTAGTAGCCCGCCCAGGCCGACTTGAGCTGTAGGGGAGAGAGAGAGAGGGAGGGACATACACGTCAGATGTGAGGGAGTGACAGAAGGTGTCGGTGGGGAGATATGGGGGAGAGAGAGAGAGGGACATACAGAGGTGAGGGGGAGACAGAAGGTGTCTGTGGGGAGATATAGGGGAGACAGGGAAATACACAGGTGAGGGAGTGACAGAAGAGAGAGAGAGAGAGACAGAGAGAGAGAGAAGGAGAGAGAGAGAGAGACAGAGAAAGAGAGAGACAGAGAGAGAGAGAGAGAGAAACAGAGTGAGAGAGAGAGAGGGAGAGAGAGGGAGAGAGAGAGAGAGAGAGAGAGAGAGAGAGAGAGAGAGAAAGAGAGAGACAGAGAGAGAGAGACAGAAAGAAAGAGACAGAGAGAGAAACAGAGTGAGAGAGAGAGAGGGAGAGAGAGAGAGAGAGAGAGAGAGAGAGAGAGAGAGAGAGAGAGAGAGAGAGAGAGAGAGAAAGAGACAGAGACAGAGTGAGAGAGAGAGAGGGAGGGTGGAGGAGTGAAAAGACCACTATTGGAACAGTGCTCTTTATACTAATATATAGCAGATAGAGCACTTTCCCTGTGGACACGTCTGAGCAAACGTCACTCACCTTGGAGTTGTTGAAGGCTGGAATACGCTCCGCCAGTTTGGGCCAGATATACTCGTTGTAAAACTCGTAGTCCACATCGAAGTTGGCAATTTCTGGCTCCTCCGCCTTAAGGAACAAAATTGTTTGTTTTAGTAAGAGTTTTATGGCATTTGCAACACAATAAGGTCATATAAGTGCCGAAGATTAGAGGTGTTACAAGAGAGTAACAAACACAAAGAGAAGGAGGGGAGATAAAGACGATACATGTTCGATAGGAAAGAAGAAGCAAACCACACCAGAGCACCCACCAACCACCCACAGAAACAAAATGAAACAAAACAGAACACAGAGTTACAAATGACTCCATAACTTTGTGATACACAATATTTTGTAGTTTTAGTAAAATATTTGCACAAATGGTCCGGAGTGGAAGATCAGTAGAGGTACAAACATGTAACCGTAATTTTTTTCCCCCGGCTACAGATCAATACTACAATGATATGAGCTAGTCTTGACACAGATCTACGTCAGGAATTGCCCGCTGGACTGTAGAATCAAATGTTGCCACATGCTAGGTTCTACACAGAAACATGACTTGTTCAGCAAACAACATGTCTTAGATGAAAGATGACACAGGCGTTCATTTGAACGAATCTGCATTTTTTTAGTGTGTGCTTGGAAGAGTTCAGTGTACCTTCCTGGAATTTTCCAGCATTTCTTCGGTATCAAAGAAATGAAAATGCTTTGTATCTGAAACCAAACTACTTTTGATTGCGAAAATTCATTATATTATACACTACTTGCTCTGTGCCTGTAATTATCTACACAAAACCTCAAGTTTGCCATTAAACGAACACTCGGATTTAACCAAATTGAAGGCCAGGCCCGACCACTTCGTTGAATCCGAGTTCCACTGTACAACATTCCTTTCAAATACATAATATGTGAGGCAGTGTGGTGGAATCAGGCTCTCATCAATTTTGAGGCATGTAGAGTTATTGATATCATTTCAAAGCTTGTTCACTTGTCTTTATAAGGATGAAAAAAATATCCATTCATCTTGAATACAAGTCGAGATATTGGCGAATGAAGGAGGTGGGGGGTCACTTGTTTTCAGGGGTAGGATTAATGGCCACCAAAGATTAGTTATTTCCTTAGCTTACGAGTCTGTGGTAACTGAAAATTTACATTTTTTGTACCTTTAATCAACGTTTTTCAGAAAAATCCACATAGAAATGAGTTCTTTAATTTGCATGAAAGGTGTTGAGCCAAAAAAAAAAAATTTGATAAAAATTTACAAACCTGCGGAAAAATGCGAGTTTCTTCACTTTGATTATTTTGACGAGAGTCTGATTCCCCCACGCTGCCTCACATATACACCCATAATCTGACAAAAGTTCACACACACACACGAAAAGACAACAACTGTGGCTTCTGTTCACACTTGATGAAAGACGAATCCAACACGCAGGTCAGACAGGATTGAAACGCAAGTCAGCGATTTCTCTTACCTCGCAGCCAGGAGAGCAGCCGCAGATGTAGTGACCACCCAACCCCTCTCGTCGCACGTACACGCCGCACGGGTCCACCACAAACGGGCAGTCCAACATCGGCCCGTCCGGGCAGTGAGGCACGAACACAAACCGCTTCCTGTGGGAGACCAAAACATCGTGGTCACAACACCATGACAACATTAAAATTTGCCCCGAGTCTTCATTCTTTCCTGGTTTCTAGATGTAGTTTACTGATCAATTTAATATTAGTAAAACTGTAGAAAGAGGGAGTAGGGAAACAAAAAGGGGGGGGGGGGGGGAGAGAGAGAGAGAGAGAGGGAGAGAGAGAGAGAGAGAGAGAGGGAGAGGGAGAGAGAGAGAGGGAGAGAGAGGGAGAGGGAGGGAGAGAGAGAGAGAGAGAGAGAGAGAGAGAGAGAGAGAGAGAGAGAGAGAGAGAGAGAGAGAGACAGAGACAGAGACAGAGACAGAGAGAGAAAGACAGAGACAGAGACAGAGAGAGAGGGGGGTGGGGGTGGGTGGGGTAGTGAAAAGATCACTATTGCAACTATGCTTTTTATACTAACAAAGAGCACATTGAGCACTTTCCTTGTGGAAATGATCTATATGAATGTAATCTATTATGGTTATTATTTGTAAGAGTACCGGTAGTGATGGTAATGGGGCCACAACTGCTAGCCTCATGAGCCCTCAACGCGAGATTCAATGGCTTCAAAGCGAGAGTAGTGTCAGGCCCATGGCTCAAACCCCGGAACCCGCAACCTCATGATTACGAGTCCGGTAGCCTACCCACCAGGCCACCGATGCCACAACTATAAAAGTAGGTTCATTTGTTTACATTTAATTACCAATTTAGTGACACATATGTCGCTTTTACGTTTCGTACCAAAAGAAGGCTCTGGCATAGTGAGCAAACCCGCCTCTGGAATTAAAGAGTTATTGTTTGTTTTTGTAAAGTGTTTTACGGCGCTCGCAACTGCATAAGGTCATATGAGCGCGTGGGACACACCTAATATTTTCAGTTGGTAGGAAATTTTGAATTTTGCCCGGGTGGTGGCCGAAGCCTACTCTTATCGATTTTAGACCACCAAGGGATCTTTAACGTGAGCAACTTGCACACGGGCCCTCCGAGATTTTTTCGCCCTTGTCTGAGAAGGCTAAGTGTAGATCTTTCCTACCAGAAGATCAGGGGTGCGGCAGAAAGACGGCAGTAAGGAGGAGACAAGAAGTAGCAGTAGAAAGGCTGCAGAAAGAGTCAGGAGCCAAGAGGAGCGGGCAAAGGAGGTGAGGGGGTAGGGGTAGAAAGTGGAAATGAAAGCAGACAACAGAACATTGCTAGAGAGCAGGAAAGGAGGTGAAAGGAGACAATTTCGGAGAAGAAAATTTTTCGGTCGCTACCTGGATTCGAACCCGGGACCTTTGAATGAGAGGCCAACACCTTAACCTCTAGGCCACGAGAGCCCCAATAAAGAGTTAAAAGGAAATATAAAAATAAGACTCAAACCTTGGCTCCACGGGTAAAGGAATCTGTAGCTCAGCGTCGCCGGTCCCGATGCGAGCGATCTCCGCGACGTCTGCCGCCCAGGGCCCCGCACAGTTGACCACCATGGCGAACCGAACCTCAAACTCTCGGCCGTCTTTGACACGAATCTGCCGTCATGAGAGAAAAGTAGCACAGTATCTGACATGGCGAGTGAGCAAAAGTACAGCTGGCAAGTGACGGTAAACGATATGTGTCATGACGCGGATGATTCAGGCGCTCGTCAAAATTCAGGTATATAGAGTTGTTAGAATAATCTTAAAGCCTATCCATTTGCCTTGCTTTTGATTTTTTTAAAATATACATTTATCTTGAACACATGTCAAGATATTTGCGATTGAAGAAGGTGGGGGTGGCCTGGTTTCAGAGGTCAAATTAGCGAGTTATTCCCTTAGCTGGAGAGTCCGTGGAAACTGAAAACTTACATCTTGTACAACATTAATCAACATTTTTAAAAGTAAAATCCACCCAGAAATGTGTTTTTTTAATGGGAATACAAGGTGTTGAGCCAAAAAAAACCCAAAAAAAATTCAATAAAAGTTCCCAAACCTACAGAAAAATGCTAGTTTCTTTGATTTAATTTTTTGACGAGAGTCTGATTTCACCGCGATGCCTCACACGCATACAGTCGAGACTGCCCAAGACGGCCATCCACTGTCGAGGAGAAAGTCATCTCGTCTTAGACAGGTGCATGTCTAGCACAGTGTCGACATAGCAGTAAAAAAACGCGGGAAAGGGGGGGGGGAGTGGGAAATGATTGTTTGTACAGGCAAAGATCGTACATAACAAGATAGTTCACTCCCCTCTTTGAGCCAATTAAAAAAAGTGTCCTCAAAATCCGGTGGCGCCCTCTTCGAAAAAGTGCGGACTTTGTGAACAGAGTTACCCTACTTGTGTGAAAAACAATAAAAGTGAAACTAACAAACTGTGCTATTCTTCTTCTTCTTCTGGAGAAATGAAAGAGAGATTCCAAACAAAGACTGCAGCGCCATCTGAAGCAATGCGCGGACTTCCGTTGACACTTTTTTGGCCGAGTGAACTATCTTGTTACGAACAATCTTTGGTACAGGTGATTGTCTTGGACAGGTGGCTGTTAGGGCAGGTTCGACTGTATTTCTACATAATAATAACAATAATAATAATAATAATAATAATAACAATAATAATAATAATAAATGACATTTATATAGTGTTCTACCCGAATTAAAGAAAACAAGCTCTAAGCACTCTACAAATACAAGTAGTAATACATAATTATTAATAATAACAGATTGTATTTACAAAATTATTACATTGTGTTCTGACGAAAAAAACGTCAGTACATCTCTACATAAGCTTCTTACAACTCGGGATTATTACATTGTGTTCTGACGAAAATCTCGGTATATCTCTATATATAAGCAACTTACAACTCCGGATTATTACATTGTGTTCTGACGAAAATCTCGGTATATCTCTATATATAAGCAACTTACAACTCCGGATTATTACATTGTGTTCTGACGAAAATCTCGGTATATCTCTATATATAAGCAACTTACAACTCCGGATTATTACATTGTGTTCTGACGAAAATCTCGGTATATCTCTATATATAAGCAACTTACAACTCCGGATTATTACATTGTGTTCTGACGAAAATCTCGGTATATCTCTATATATAAGCAACTTACAACTCCGGATTATTACATTGTGTTCTGACGAAAATCTCGGTATATCTCTATATAAGCAACTTACAACTCCGGATTATTACATTGTGTTCTGACGAAAATCTCGGTATATCTCTCTATATAAGCAACTTACAACTCCGGATTATTACGTTGTGTTCTGACGAAAATCTCGGTATATCTCTATATATAAGCTACTTTAAACTCCAGATTATTACGAAGCGTTCTGACGAAAAATCTCGGTAAACCTCTCTATATAAGCCTGTCCCCGTGGTTTTATGCACTCGCATAATTTACCAAAATTTAGCATTTTTTTTCATAATTTCTGATTACTTTCCTTTATCATTCTTTGCTAAAATTAACAGAATCGCATAATTTCACATTTTGGGGCTCAGTTTGCATAATTTCAGAATTTTTTTTTGCATAAAACTGCGGGGACAGAAAAGCAACTTACAACTCCAGAGTCGAGCCGCAGGTCTTTGTTGGTCTCGGAGGAATCCTCCTTGGTCTGGAAGGTGAACTCCGTGAGCTCTCCGTGGACGTACTTGACCCCCATGCTGATGTTCTTCTGCTTCAGCGCCCGCACCAGGGACCACGGGTCAAACCAGCCCTCGCCCTCAAGGCCTGCACACACACAAACACAAAGAAATTTAGACACAAACATAAACAACATAAGTCAAGACGCGGTGGAATCAGGTGCTGATCAATTTTGGGGCATATGGAGTTATTGGTATCACCTTAAAGCCTGTCCATTTCCCTTGCTTTTGGTGAAAAAATATCCATTTATCTTTCGTGCAAGTCAAGATATTGTCGAATGAAGGAGGTGGGGTCACCTGGTTTCAGAGGTAAAATTAGCGAGAAAATGGCTGTCAAAGTTGCGTTATTTCCTAAACTTGAGAGTCCGTGGAAACTGAAAATTTACATCTTTCAAGCTTTTAATCAACATTTTTCATTTATGAGCGCTTTATAATACAATACAATGTACAACAGTAACATAAAATGTTGTGTTCTGACCAAAAGAAAATCACTCCAAATATTCATCTTATTAATTTAAAAGCAGAAAGGACTTCAGCTGACATTGGAATGAATCAAAGGATTTGATGTCTCTTAACACTTTGCCATCACAAGGCTCATAGAGTAAAAAACTTTGCCATCACAAGGCTCATAGAGTAAAAAACCTTGTCATCACAAGCATTTTGGGGGAAATCCAAAGAAACTGGGCGGTAAACATCGCTGATCCGAGTTTTGTGACGGGGGCGGAAGTTTGGCGTTCTTGCCGATCGGCAAGATGTTACGGCAAAGTGTTAAAGTACTTGAAGAGCACCGGGGAAAAACGACGGTAGTCACAAACTGGGAATTGTGAGGGTGCTAATTTTAAAAGCTTGTGGACTCATAAGTTCATATTTGTTTGACTGGTGGTTTATTGCTAAGTGTTGTTGAATGGTAAACCTAACAACAACAATAATCAACCAACAGTTGAACAGAAATACAGTTATGATTCAACAGGCGTTCAAAATTGGTACCCTCAAGATTTTCAGTTTGTGACTTCCGTCGTTTTCCCCCTGTAGTCTTCACTTGGCAAAGTACTCCTCTCACCTAAAGACCCACAATCGATGCCCTCCAGGTTCATCCACGGAAACTTCTCGGCTAACTGTCCCTTGGACAACAGCTCCACTCTCGCCCCCAGCTGCCTGCACGTACACAAGAAAAAACAACACGCTCAAGTACACGCCCCTAGCTGCCTGTACACATACGAGAAAAAACAACATGCTCAAGTACACGCCCCCAGCTGCCTGCACACACGAGAAAATAACAACACGCTCAAGTACACGCCCCCAGCTGCCTGCACACACACACGAGAGAAAAAACAACATGTTCAAGTACATGCCCCCAGCTGCCTGCACACACACATGAGAAAAAACAACACGCTCAAGTACACGCCCCTAGCTGCCTGCACACACACACGAGAGAAAAAACAATATGTTCAAGTACACACCCCTAGCTGCCTGCACACATGAGAGAAAAAACAACATGTTCAAATACACGCCCTAGCTGCCTGCACACACGAGAGAAAAAATATGTTCAAATACACTGTCAGCCGAGAATTTAAATCACTGCTGATTTTGCTTTGTTTTCTTGTTGGTTTTTTTTCTTCTGAAGCATTACTGCTACTCCTTGGCTTCTTCTTACTGCTCTTATCAATTTTACACCACCAAGGGATCTTTAACGTGCGCAACTTGCACAAGAGACTTTTCGCTCTTTCCTACCAGAAGATCAGGGGTATGGCTGGAAGACAGCAGTAAAAAGGAGCCAAAGAGTAGCAGTAGAAAGGCAGCAGAAAGAGTCAGGAGTCCAGAGGAGGTGAGGGGGTAGGGCAGAAAGTGGAGACGAAAGCAGACGACAGAACATTTGTTAGAGAGAAGGAAAAAAGATGAAAAGAGACAATTTTAGAGAAGAAAATTTTTCCCGTCGCTAAGAGAGGATCAACTTTCCACCAAAACAGCTGAGAGCAGAGACACACAACACAGACCACTCACTGCTGCATGTTCACATTGGCCGCCAGTTGCTGTGCATCTCTGGGCGGAGCCAGGAAAAGATAACCCTGGTGGTTGAACTGCACGTCAGGTGGGCCCTCATCTGGACACGACAAAACAAAATCATCATAGTTCCCCTCCTTTTTTTTGGTTTGTTTTAGTAGAGGTTTTACGGCGTTCGCAACAGCATAAGGTCATATGAGCGCCAGAAGATTAGAGGTGTTACAAGAGAGTAACAAGCATAAAAAAGAAGGAGGGGAGATAAGGATGATAGATGATTGATTGGAAAGAAGAAGCAAACCACACCAGAGCACCCGCCAACCATCCACTTTTTTAAAAAACACTTTGCAGTCACACAGCCAGCAGTACAAAATATCCCATCTGGTCACCCAGCCAGGAGAGCGACTGCAACAGACTTCTCGGGTCTGGCGCAAAATTGTGTCATGTGACCAAAATGAATAATTTTCACCAACGCATTATTGCGCAAAGTGATCGTGAAGTGTTAAAAGTAAAAGTTTAACGGCACTTGCAACACAATAAGGTCATAGAAGTGCTGAAGATTAGAGGTGTTAAAAGAGAGTAATAAACGCAAAAAAAGAATGAGGAGATATATTGACAATAGATGTTTCATAGGAAAGAAGGAGCAAACCACACCGGAGCACCCGCCAAACACCCACTCACCTGCTTGAGAAATATTTTTTTTCTTACAGCACTCGTGACATACATAGGTTATATTATATACATGCTGATATACAGCTCAACTTCCACCTGAACAGAATAAACCCGGAACTTCCCTCAATGTGTCCCTTGGGTAACTATGCATATGAGACTGGATCATCACCTGTTCCACTGCACAGCCCTAAATGACATCAGAGCTACCCTTCTCCTTCCGAGACCTAACATTGACAACACACTCTATGGAACTTTACAGCAACTGCAGCAAACCTGCACTTATCACTACATGGCATTGGACAGAAGGGCGAGAGCCCAGCTGTTGCTTGATCGATAACAACAACAACAACATATACATGCTGAAGATTAGAGGTGTTACAAGAGAGCAACATACAAAGAAAGGGAGGAGGACAGATAAGGAAAATGGTTATTTGATTGGAGAGAAGGAGTAAACCATACCAGAGCACCCATCAACTACCCACTCATCATAATAATCATCACATTTTGCGAACATTTTAAGTTTTAGTAAGAGTTTTACGGCACTTGCAACACAATTTAAGGTCATACAAGTGCCGCAGATTAGAGGTGTTACAAGATAGTAACAAACACAAAAAAGAAGGAGGGGAGATAAAGACGATAGATGTTTGATAGGAAAGAAGAAGCAAACCACACTAGAGCACCCGCCAACCATCCACTGCGAACATTTGAAATAGTCCCGAGTATGATGAAAGAGAAGTAAACCCACACAATAAAGTCATCAAGTGCTTGAAAAGTGCAAGACATACACACAGGGAAAGGTAGAAAAGTTGGACCTACCAATGGTACCTTCCAAAACTGCGTCATTTGACATAGAAAGAGCCTAAAAGTTAACATTTTAAAATTTTAATAAAAACAAAATCCAGTTTTTAAAAAAACAACAATAAGCAAAACAAAAAAAACAAAGCACACCCTCTCCCCCCCCCCCCCCCCCCACAACCACCAATTAAAAAGCCTGACTGACAAGACTCATAGACCCAAGTATTAGTTTTAGGTTTAGAAAGAGTTTACGGCACTTGCAACACGCTAAGGTCATATAAGTGCCGAAGATTAGAGGTGTTACAAGAGAGTAACATACACAAAAAAGGAGGAGAGATCAGGACGATAGATGTTTGATAGGAAAGAAGGAGCAAACCACACCAGAGCACACGCCAACCACTCATGAATAACGCTGAGGTGCTCCTTGATGTCCTCACACACACACAAAGACTCACGTATAACACTGAGGTGCTCCTTGATGTCTCTCCACACACACACACACACACACACACACACATGTAAACATACACACACACATACACACAACCACTCACGTATAACACTGAGGTGCTCCTTGATGTCCCGCAGGAACTCGGTCGCAAACATGGACAGCTGTACATTCTCTGGCACGGAAAACTGGTGACGGATGCCGCCCGCAGACAGCATGGTGGATGCACGCGTGTACTGCAATAGTCAAACGGTGAGCATCTGTTTAGTTTTAGTAATAATATTAATAATAATAATAATAATAATGGATTGCATTTATATAGCGCATATCCACTTATGCAATGCTCTATGCGCTTAACATGAAACATATTAGTAAGTGTTTTACGTCACTTACAACACAATAAGGTCATAGACAGCATGGTGGATGCACGCGTGTACTGCAAGGGTCAAGGTCAAGCAGTGAGCACCTCATTACTGTTGGTTGCCTCGTCGTTGTAGTAGGAGGAGCATTGTCTTAGATTGTTCATTGTTTTTAATTTATTTACTGCAAGGGTCAAGCGGTGAGTGTCTGTTTAGTTGTAGTAAGAGTTTTACGGCACTTGCAACACAATAAGGTCATATATAAGTGCCAACAATTAAAGGTGATACAAGAGAGTAACAAACACAAAAAAGAAGGAGGGGAGATTTAAAAAAAGATAGGTGTTTGATAGGAAAGAAGAAACAAACCACACCAGAGCACCCGCCAATCACCCACAGTGAGAATCTCATTACTGTTGGTGGCCTTGTCATTGCAGTAGGAGGAGCAGTGTCTTAGATTGTAAACGTGTCATGACACGGTGGAATCAGGCATTTGTCAACTTTTGGGCATATGGAAGTATTAGTTTCATCTGAAAGCCTATCCATTTGCCTTGTCTTCGATGAAAAAACACCCATCTATCTTGAATAGAAGTTAGATTTTTGCAATTAAAGGACGTGGGGGGGTCCTCCGGTTTCAGAGGTAAAATAAGCTAGAAAATGGCCGCCAAAGTTTGGTAATTTCAATGACAATAGCTTGGGAGTCCATGAAAACAGGAAATGTACACATCCTGTGTCTTTAATCTAAGTTTTCCAATAAAATTCGCACAGAAATATTTTGTTATATGGACGTAAAAGGTGTTGAGCCAAAAAACAAAAATAGAATAAAAATTGACAAGCTGGTGGAAAAATGCCTGTTCATTCAATTTCATTATTTTGACAAGCACAGAAAACATTCTCCTACCACAGGGTCTCGTTCCACGATGACGATGTTTGTGGCCGAGGGGTTCCACTGCTTCAGCCAATAGGCTACGGACGAGCCGATTACGCCTCCACCGACAATCAGGACGTCTGTTTCACGAGGCACGTCCGTTCCTGCCGGCTTCATCGTCTTGATTCCCTCAAACTCTTCCTTCAAGATCTTCCACGGGGACCTGTACTTGCCTGCGACAAAACAGAAGCGAAACGATACTAAAAAGTCCACAGTGTCGTGTAACTCAAAGAGAAGTACAGACACAGCAGATGGTATGGGAGGAGGAGGAGGAGGATCAAGAGGAGGATCAGGAGGAGGAAGAGCAGAAGAAGAAAAAGGTGGAGGAGGAGCAGGAGAAGAAGAAAAACGAGGATGAGGAGGGGGAGGACGAGGAGGAGAAGGAGGAGGAAGAGGACCAGGAGGAGGGAGAGCAGGAGGAGGAGGAGGAGGAGGAGGAAAAGGAGAAGAAGAACAAAGAAAAGAAGGCAGAAGAAAAAAAAATCCCAGAAAGGAGACTTATTTTGTATTTATTCGCATGCATCATAAAGCACTTTGCGGCACACTGCGGGTTAAACTATCATTATGTTAGTTAGTTTCAGTAAGAGTTATGGCACTAGAGCAACACAATAAGGTCATATAAGTGCTGAAGAATAGATGTGTTACAGAGTGTAACAAACACACACAAAAAAAAGGAAAGATCAGGACAATGTTGCTCATCTCTCTAGCTTCAGCAGCAAAAAGTCTGCTTCGACTATCAAGGCACCCCGGAAATAGCAGTTCACAAGAGAGTGACAAACATGACAAAAGAAGCAGAGGAAAAACGATGATAGTAAGGATTTATAAGGAAAGAAAAATCAGCAGTTCTCCATATGTTGTTCCAGCACAGTATGGGCATGACATTGACAAATCAGCCCATTTACAATTCTACTGTGCATAAGAACATGATGTTAATATCCGCCTGGGGGGTGAGGGGGTGGGTGCAAAAATCCAGTGTGAAGCCTAAACCAGTATTACATCACCACAAGAAAAACTGACGGAACTTGAACGTACCAGCTCTGGGTATTCGCTTGTCTTCCTCCGAAAGGCCTCTTTCGCCGTGGTCCGACCCAGATGTGGTTACCCGACAGCGTTCTTGGATTGAAAAGACTCGGCGAAGACCACAACGGAGGTACGTTTTTAACACCACTGAAGACATCATTGTGTCGTGCTCATGAGTTGAATCCTGAAAAAAAAAAGTTGAGGAAAATAGACTATATATGTTAGAAGAAGCAGGGATTAAAAAGTGCACAAGAAACTAATTACACTAAATTACAGTCAAAATTATCCAAGCCGGCCACCCATTGTCAAGGAAAAAAATGGTTGTCTTAGACAGGTGGATGTCTTAAATGCTATTACGGTAACGCAGAAAAAAACTCAAGGGAAAGTAGATAGTGGTCATATTTGTACAGGTCATTCATTGTATTGCACAGGTTTGACTGCATATATATATAATAAAAAACTGCCTTAATAAAAACTGACAAGGAAGGAGAAAATGAAGAGATTATTTTGAAAAGATGAAAATAAAATATATTCTCCTTTTATAATTTATTTATTTTTACACAGCTCACTTCAATCTAATGTCCAGTCAGCGGAGATTTTTATTTATATTATATAATATATATATATATATATATCATGTTGAATTGCCAGCAAAGATAAATCTCTCTACATTTTACAGTTTTCTTTGACAAATAACGAAATTCGTATATGTTTAAATTAGTGCAATTTCGTAAAACAAAACTTCACTGTCTATTCATAAAATGTCCCCTCCTTTGTGAGATTGCCAGTTCAGGGATTTGAGGCTAGGCTCCATCTGACATGGCATCCCTCAGAAAGGCACTGTACACGATTTCTCATTTGGCCTGATTTTTACTGAAGATGGATGTTGTTAAATTTGGAGGTCTCATCTCTTAAATCCTATAGTATTGCTAGAGGCACTGTTTAAACCTTGAAGCCGATACGCCTAAAATACCGGTTCGCTTTCAACCCGCTGTTTTAAGAAAACAGAATTTTTACTTTACAAAAGTCACCCCTAAGATCCCGCTCTGATTTGCTCTGAAGGTCTACATTCAGCTAAGATCCCGCATTTCAGATCATAATGTACGGGACAAAAACTTGGGCGGTCACAGCGGACCAACCAAGAGTGAAAAGTTGAGGTCATAATCATCATGGAACTGCCTGTCGTGTCAAAGATCAGCCACTCTCGTGGATGTGATCACATAATAAGCGTTGTAAAACTCGATGAAACGGAACATTGTCAGCTCCAGATAGGATCACACCAAGGTGTGAACCCATCAATGCATTTGTTTTCACCAAACATCGCACGTCACATCTGAGCTCTCCACCTAATCTTACATCACTCGCAGGGTGGGCACAGCCTACAAGTCACTCCAGGCGGGACGACATCGAACTGTGAACTATTCCCAGCAGATGTCAGAGATGGAAAGCTATAAATTTCTGACAGAAAAAGGGATATATATATATATATATATATATAGGATAAATTATTAAAAAATGTGAAAATGGCAAGACTAAAAATGTGAAAATGGCATGATTCATGACACTGTGATTGGTCATCAAGGTTGACCACTCTTTGCTTGCAATATATATGCTATAATAAACCCACCCAGGGTTCCCGTCAGTTCAATTTAAAGTGTACAGGGAGACAATTTAAAAAGTTGTAGGCTTTAACATGGATCACTGAAGGTTCTTCCCTTGGTGCGTTGGTAAAGATCCCGTTCGCCTAAGATCCCACGTTTTCCTTCGGGATCTTAGCGGAGACTACTGTATTTCAATTTCATATACAGGAGGTGTATAAAAAAATGACAAGAATTTGCAACGAATTTTCACATGCGGCGTTGCAAATAGCGCCCCTCTGCCTTTTTATTAGGTCGGGGGGGGGGGGTGGGGGGGGAAGCCCCCTTGAAATCCCCCCTACTCTCGGGGCCCAAACCGGCGAATAAGAACCAAACCGCAGGGTGGGAACTAGGCTACCTAAAAAGCGCCCACTATTTTTTAAAACAACCAACTTTTGAGACTACTAATCTAGATCTAGATCTAGATTCTAGATTCTAGATCTAAGGCCCTTAGGGGGCTCTCGTGGCCTAGAGGTTAAGGTGTTGGCCTCTCATTCAAAGGTCCTGGGTTCGATTCTGGGTAGCGACCAAAAAATTTTCTTCTCTAAAATTGTCTACTTTCACATCCTTTCCTGATCTCTAACAATGTTCTGTTGTCTGCTTTCATTTCCACTTTCTGCCCCCACCCCTCACCGCCTTTGCCCCCTCCTCTGGGCTCCTGACACTTTCTGCAGCCTTTCTACTGCTACTCCTTGGCTCCTCCTAACTGCTGTCTTTCTGCCACACCCCTGATCTTCTGGTAGGAAAGATCTACACCTAGCCTTCTCGGACAAGGGCGAAAAATCTAGGAGGGCCCGTGTGCAAGTTGCGCACGTTAAAGATCCCTTGGTGGTCTAAAATCGATAAGAGTAGGCTTCGGCCGCCACCCGGGCCCAGGCAAAATTCAAAATTTCCTACCAACGAAAAAGTATTAGGTGTGTCCCGCGCGCTCATATGACCTTATGCAGTTGCGAGCGCCGTAAAACCCTATACTAAACAAACAAACAATAAGGCCCTTATATTATAAATTCAATTAGCATCACAACAAGGTAGAACTAGATTCTAGATCTAGATCTAGATCTAGATCTAGATAGATATCTATTCTAGTTCTAGAATCTAGATCTAAAATCTAGATACTTAGATTGTAGATCTAGATCTAGATATCTATATATTAGATCTAGATCTAGGCCTACTGCTGCAAATAGATTATAATACTAATACACGGTGACAATAAAAACACAGACCCTGCCGTTGCAAATTTGTAGTGCTCAGTTTAAGACAGCTTTCTGGCCACTAAAAGTTGCACTGCAAAAGACAAGGTTAGTTTGGCGGCCGGCGTCCTTCCACGAGAGCGTGACAACGGAGTGTATTTCAATGCAAGTGCAGATAAAAACTTGCTAAACCCAGACAGACTTCTATTCCTGAGTATTGCGAGCTTGCATAACTTGGCCTACTGTCAGTCAAGTGTGTTATCCACTGTTTGCTCAGTTGAATCACAAGGCACACCAAGTCACTGAAAGTAAGTCGTCCAAGGCCAACAACTGTGTACACACACACTCCGACCCGAGGCTGTTGGTCGTTTAGTCCACAATAAGAATTCAATCTGAAACGAGAAATAAAGTTGCGAATAGATAATTTACCGACAACCCAACTTATGTCAAGTAAATTATGGTCTCAATTCTCAAGAAACAAACATTTCTGCTGCGGGATAATTTGCTAATTACTTTAATATTCAATAGAAGTTATTAAAATAAAATTTATTTCATAATAAAATTAGATGATGAGTATCTTTCCTGAAGATTACATTCATGGCGATATATTTTGAATAATTTTCTTTCGTATTAAATAGAGTCGAACCTGTTGGTTGATATTTTAGCTAAGCCAATTAAAGAGGAGGAAACTCGGGAAAAACTAATGTTCAAAGCGTTAGATTCAATAGTTTTCAATCATTCTCATTGTTTAGAGATCACTTTTTAAAACAAAACACACAAAAAACCACTCTCTCAAAAGTGACATTATGGTTTGATACGAACAGAATGGCAAATCTGGATGTTGAACCAGAGTATTCATGATAAAGGTACGTTTGAAATCTGTAGGTTTATCGAATCGACGAATCAGTCGTTCGCTGTAGACGTCTAGCCTTGTGAAGTTGATCTGCCCGTATCGAGGTAGTGTGCGAACAGCAAAAGTGCAAGGCAAAATGTTAGTAGAAATATAGACTCTAGATCTAGATATAGATCTAGGCGTCGTAATATTTGACAACATGGGGATGTTTCTGGAGGGCATGATTTGATGTTTTGGCAATTAGATATAAATCTAGATCTAGAGTCTAGATGTAGGCTTTTTATTTGAAAACAATTGAATTGCAATTGCAAGGGTTTTAGTGGCCAAGCAATGTTGTGCTCTGTGACTCTGTGACCGGGGAAGTTTAGCCCTCGGCCCTCAGATCAGTAGTAGAGTCTAGATCTAGTGCATCTCTGTGGTGGGTTGAAAAGTATTTTTAATTATTATATTTTATCCATTTTTTGTGTTGTTAGAGTCTAGATTTAGATCTAGATCTATATCTAGATTTTAGATCTAGATTCTAGATCTGATCTAGAGTTTAGTTAAATGGGTGCTTTTTCGGTAGTTCCCACCCCCCTTATTTGAGCCTGACCTACATCTAGATCTAGATCTATACGTTTGATTCGCGGTGAGCTAAGATATCAAACCTAACAACTGCAAAACATTAAATTATGGTAAAATTCAGGGGGGCATGCCCCCCTGAAACCCCCCTTCCTATTTTTATTAGGTCAGGGGGGCAAGCCCCCCTGAAACCCCCCTACTCTTGTGGCCCAAACCCGTGAATAAAATTGCGGGGTGTGAACTACCGAAAAAGCGCTGTTAAATGTGAGTGAAATTATATTGTTGTGTGTGACAGTCAGTGTGTGTCAAGAGTACTGCTTTAGAAATCTATAATATAATATCGTGACGTTATTCCGTCTCCGGTCTTGTACTTCTTACTGTGTACCATTCCTTTATTCAGCCTCTTTGGCCTTAGTTTGCATGTTTAACTTTACTTGACACTTGACAATGGCATCAGTCAGACAGAGTTTCTTTTCTAGTTTTTTTCTAGCAATGCCAATCGCCCGCTGCGCCTTGGGCCGGAAATCGGCCTCCGCGCGAGGGGTATTTTTTGGGCCGCTCGGAATCAGAAGTGACTCTTTTCTAAGTTTAGTTACGGGAAAACTCCTGGACGAAAATAAATGAAACTCGGCAACCAACCAGAGGAAAGGTTAAACTAACGACATGCCAGCGTACAATCCCGAACGATTACTAGAACTGGAGATATTGCCATGTTTGTGCGAATTTCCTCTGTGGTTCGAAAACTAAGGGGAGCTGCGGGTTGATCGCCGACCACACAAGCGCCCCACATATGTCTTCTTTATTGCTGTTAAATTTCAGATCTCTGCGTTTAGTAGATTTTCTGTACCAACTTAAAATTACCACCCATCCATTGATAAAACACTAGATCTAGAAACTTGATCGCGCATTCCAAACGCGAGGTGCCGGCACGAAGAGGCGCGTGATCGCTAGGCGGCATGTGATTAGCTGCCTATAACCAAATAGGTCACCGATGACTACATCGCAGGTTTTCCCGATAGCGCTTTACTGAGTTTTAGAAGGGGTGATCGCGTCGCGGTAAAAACGATGTCACGCAATTCAACAAATTTCACGCAAATATCAGTCCTTAAGATCCAAAGTAATGAAGACATCGAAAAAGTGATAGCAGAACTAGATTCGGCACTAAAAATCACATGGAGGTGCCAAGTTTCATTCATATACTCCAATTCATTACTGACTTATGAACAGTTTTTCCTCAAAATACATCAAAACATGTCCCACATTTTGGCGATTTTTTCCTATATGAAGGTCCTCCAACATTTTGGAAACAAAAATCCCAATAACTTTTTTTATTTATCAATGGATTTTTTAAATTTAAAAACCATAGTTCTTAGAATTTACTCTATTTTCATTTAAGCCCATTTTTAAACAATTTGGATGATGAAAATTTAATTTTTCATTGTCATTGCTATTTTTTCAGTGTCAGCCTGGTTTCTGATCATGTACACAAATTTTTTTATCTGAATGACTTGACATATTAAACATAGTAAGATATTAATAGCCAAAGATGGCATTTCATTTGGTTTTCTGTTATGTTTAAGACAAGACAAATTTAAATGCTCTTATTATTATTAAGATATTATAAAAGGCCTTTGTGTTGCAGTAAGATCTAGTTTTAGTCAGTCGAGGATCCCCTTGCCTCTTTATTTTTTTTTCATCACACATTTCTATTCCAGAAAGTTAACAATTTCTACGGAGATCTGGAGTTGACCTATTAGCAAGTGCCGCCACCCCCCAGCTATCAACGAGATGTCGCAGGGCCAGAGTTCCCTGCCCCAGAACAAAGAGGCTCAGCTGAGGTCCTACCAGGTGCACCTCAAGGACAACATCCGCTCAATGTTTGAAAATTTCTCAGAGATAATTAAGCTGGCCCGCGTAAGTGAAAAGGTATAACGGTGACTATGTCTTTTTCTTCTCAGCATTTTTGGGGGCGCCTGCGGCCGGTGGAGGACTTACCCCTACTGTTGTGTTTGTGTTGGTGTTTAGCTAATCAATGTTTTATCGTTCATTCGTTCATATTTTCCCCCATTTTTCCTCTCTACTAAGTCTAGAGAGGGTTTGATTGTTGGTTTGGTAGTAAGTACCATCAAAACAGTTTGGAAATGGATTACTCTGCTGTTTTCTTTGATCTATTTAAATATAAAACAGGGATGCCAAATCTCTGGTTTTTCCGGCTTTTTCCGTTTTTTTCCTACACTTGCAAAGGAAAGGGGAATGGTAAGAGAAATGTTTTTGTTTGCTCATTGAAAGATTTTACCAGGTTCGTTTTAGGTGAGATGTGACGCTCCCCTCATTTTCAGATTAAAAAAAAAAAATCATTTGGCATCCCTGATATAATCAGGTGTCTTAGAGGTGTAAAGCTAAACACCTATTACCAATTTTTAAAGGTTTTCAAAAAAACGTGTGTTAGTTTCTGGCAGTGTTTCCCTCCATTTAATTCTTGGATGAGTGTTTGGTACATGTATATTATATAGATTTCCACTACTAATTGTTGAGAGCAGCTGGAGTAATTCATTAATTTTCTATAATTAGTTTTGCATGTTTCATTGACTCAACTCTGCCTGTATCCAGTGGTTTTGTCTCACAGAGGGTTTTTTTTGTAACAGCAACGGGATTGACTTAGAATGTAGACCTACTGATGCTGCTGGTTTCACTCGAGGCTGGAGGAATAATGCTAGTTTTCAAGACGCAATTGTATCATTGTGTATAGTGTAGAAAGTTGGCTTGACTTTCTGCTAGTGCTGGGCGGTACCGGCGAAACCCAGTGCCGAGAGCTGCCAGTACGGTACTGGCACTGGGAGTGACACCAGGAAGTGACGTCACAGTCTGTGCATCCCGCACGCCACAGTCAGCGCCGTCCACATTCCCCCCCCCCCCCCCCCCCCCCCACACACACACACACAGAGTCAAAATTGGAGAGGTGAACTGTGACGGAAAATACCTTTGAAGTTTGCCGCCGTGCGGGATTGAACTTTGCATGCAAAATTTTAAAAATAATTATCACAGCAAAAAAGTGATTTCATTTTCGGAATGGGCGTACCAAAATAAGCAAAATGGCTTGCGTAGATCCTTATTTGATGCCATATATATTTAAATATAAGCAAATTTCGTTTTTTATTGTCAATTTTGAGTCTGAAGTCATGGATCAAGGTCACCCTCTACGTTGTGTGCATCTGGCGTCACAGCTGCTAGGCCTAGGCCTACACACAGCGCACTTCCCGTTGCCCGGTAAAAGTAAAAAACCGTTGCCTCATAGACATTTCATGAGATAAAATATTCTATCTATTATTTTCTGCCAATCCCAAAGCTATTTATCTAAATGTTCAAGATGGACAGTTTTGTAAGCTTTATTCTTATTAATTATCGACTCATCGCTGGCCACATTCAACATATTTATCTCTTGGTCAACTTGGGGGTGGGACTGAAATTTCTCATGAGTCGGACTTGGTCTGCAGGTCGTAGTTCGCTCAAGCCTAGACTAGACCTTAAATGTTAAAAGCAGAGGTGCCTGTATGGGCTGGAAGCAGAACTGCAAGAAGGGGTTAGGTTGTTCGGAGGGGGGGGGGGGGGTGTTGTTGTTGTAAGGGTTAAAAAGTGGGAAAGCAAGAAAATGTTCTTGTTTTTGTTGAAGATGAGGATCCAAGAAAGAGGTTTCTGTAAGTGTTTTAAGTTGGACAGCGTGAGGGATATTTCCCTTGGAGCAGTAAGTTTGACTTTGGTCCTGGTCTCTATCGTATGTGTACACATGATGTGTTTTATTCATATGTATTATATGCGATTTGTTTTCACAGATTTCCCTGAAGCTACTTTTTATTTCTTGTGTGCATTTTCAAATTCTCAAGAGCATAAATAATTGATTGTGCTTTGAATTGAGCTGAACTCAATTTTTTTTTTATGGTTTCATTTACCTGTGTGAGTTTGTTTTTATATTCCATGTTTGTCTTTTTTTAGGGTGGGTTTTTAAAAAGTTTTTTTTTGCGTGTTTTCCTGACATTTTCTCATCATTAGTGTGTCAGTGTTTGTGTCAGGTTGTTGCTACTGACAGGTTGAGGCTAATTTATGGATCTGGGTCAATACTTGTGAATATTTATATATAATATGATATTAATACAATGGTTCATTTATACGGTTGTTTAATTTTTCCCTTTTACTAACATTTTCTTTGATTTTGGACTCGGTGGTGAACACTTGGTCATTTCCATTGTCTTGACACGTCCTCTGGCGTTCCACATTTTGTGCCTTTCTAGGGTTTTGCATTAGTTGATGATAGACTCGGCTGTAAGTTGCTAGTTATTTTGTCAGACCTTTATGCATTATTATATAATTATTAAATGTGATTTTCAAATTGGCGTTTAATACTTTTTGAAGCTACTACCACAGACAATCGTTTGGGTATATAATCTTGCTTGAGATTTAGAGTAAGTTATTTTATTCACATCCTAATTGCCTTGATTGTATTTGGAAATGTTTAAATGTGTTACAATTTTATATCTTAAAAAAACAGCATTGGCTTTTATTTAAAGTTAAAGCAGGTGTACATCGTCAATTGCTTAGGGTGATTCTTTTCAAACACTTTCAAAGTGTACGTTTGCGGGAGATTTGAAACCTAGACTATCTTCTTTCTTTTCTACCATTTCTATGTGCCGACCAAACCAATCAAAACATCTATCATCTTTATCCCTCCTCCTTCTTTTCATGTTATGTTGTTCTCTTGTCACATCTTTAATCTGTGGCAATTATATGACCATACTGTGTTGCAAGTGCTGTAAAACTGTAGCTAAAGCTAAATAAGCTATCAGTTGCTTTGGTCCCTTTCCCTGTTAACATGACATCCCAGTTGCATAACCCTATCCGTATGTCGTGTTTTACTATCGTATCCATACGACGTGGGGAACTCTGTGCCACCACTTTCCAAAGAGGAAATTTACTCATTAATCCGATCCGTACTCTTTGCATATCAGTCTGTCAAAATGATTTTTTTAGAAATACTGAAAGTTTCAAAGAGATTTTCGCCCTAGAAGTATTCTAAAATGTGAAGAATACAACCCTGGGAGTACAAAATGACCCCAGAGCGTACGGATAGGGTTAACTAGCAAGCCACTGTCTGTGGTCAACAGATGAGATGAGAAAAATTTTCCCCCCGCAGAGCAACTGTGCCATTCATCTCACCGGACAGACTAGTCTGTTTCTCTTTCTCTCTCTCTCTGTCTCTCTCTCTGTCTGTGTCTCTTTCTCTCTCTCTCTCCCTTTCTCTCTCTCTGTCTCTCTCCCTTTCTCTCTCTCTCTCTCTCCTTTTCTCTCTCTCTCTCTCTGTCTCTCTCCCCACCCCCCACCCCCCCCTTCTCTCTCTCCCCACAAACACTCACACACACATGCACGTACGCCCCCACACATATGAACCTGTTGTGTAGACCCTCCTTCATTTGCCAGTGAAACATTTCACAGATTGAGGAGGACGGCCAGCTGCTGAGGGCCACTCAGATTGACCAGGACCACTACGAGATGCAGGTCCGAGCCGCCAACATTGTGAGTACTGATACATCTTTGTTCTCTGAAATCATAGCCATTTTTTTATTTCCTTGGTCGCATACAGTGGCAATGGTGTTACAAAGGTCATACTATGCACTCACCCATGCGCACCACAAACGAGAACATAACTGATACATTATACATGTTTCTCTTATCTTCTGTGTAGGCTTTGTTTTCTTCTTCTTCTTCTTGTTCATCTCTAAATGGACATCCCAGTCTTTAGCATGAAGGCTGCTGTTCACAGCAGGTCTTCCAAGGGTTATCCTACGAGGGAAATTGCCAAGTAGTAATCTCTCGTTTATGTGTCCGCCATGTCCTCAAAGCTTTCGCCCTCTACAGATGGTCGGTGTTTGGCGGATGCTCTGGTGTGGTTTGCTCCTTCTCTCCTATCTTAAATCTATCATCTTTGTCTCTCCCCCTTCTTTTCTGTTTGTCACTCTCTTGTAACACCTCCAAATTCACTCTAATCTGCGGCACTTATATGACCTAATTGCGTTGCAAGTGCTGTTACACTCTTACTTGCCCCAACCCTAGCAATGGCATGTTTGTGACATTTTTGGGAGGTTCTGTTTAGGTGTGATATTGTTTATTTATTTATGTATTTAATGTCTTCATAATTATGTATTTGTGTTCATATATTTGCCATTGTAACCCAAATTTCCTCTGGTGATCTATAAAAATGTAATGTATTTATAATAAATTATAGTAATTCATGATCATCCAGTGCCAGATCTACGACAGACATGGGCGATCATGGTTCTCCATTCATTCCTTTGCTCAGATGCTCTTAAAAAAGCTACGTTTCCCTGATCTTTTCCCGTTACCCATTTGTTTAGGTTCCCTAAGTAGGTTGCTCTGGGCTTACCCCCTGCCTCGTTTGCCTTCAATTTATTATTTATAGTAATTAATTGGTCGCTTTTAAGGACGAACGGGCTAACCCAGATTTCGGGGGTTTCCAAAAATCTTGACCTACACCAAAAACGGGCATTCCTCTACCTGTAGGAGACGTTTGGTTTCATTGGTGTACAGAACATCAATGGACATGTCCGGAGTTCAGGGATGTTGCTTCCTGAAACAATGAACAATGAAGTGTATATTTGTTTGGTTATAGAGAAAATTCTCCTTGTTTTTTAATGAAACTGAACAAGGGGCAAAAACTTAACTTTTGATTTTTCTCAAAACGGATAGCCCACTTGTCCTTAAAAGGGACCAATTAATTAGTCAAATTTCTCCTTGCCCCAGGTGAAGGCGGGCGAGTCGCTGATGAAGCTGGTGTCGGATCTCAAGCAGTTCCTGATCCTGAACGACTTCCCGTCGGTGAACGACTCCATCACGTACAACGCCGGCACCTACAAGGACATGCAAGGTGGCATCGACAAGAAGCTGATGGTGCTGCGTGACGACATGGCCTCTGACCTCTACGAGCTGGAAGACGAGTACTATTCCTCTGTCTACAAGTGATGGCGGGGGTTGTGTGTATGTGTGTGTGTGTCTGTGTGTGTGTGTCTGTGTGTGTGTGTGTATGAGCTGGAAGACGAATACTATTCCTCTGTCTACAAGTGATGGCGGGGGTTGTGTGTTTGTGTGTGTCTGTGTGTGTGTCTGTGTGTGTGTGTCTGTGTGTGTGTGTGTATGAGCTGGAAGACGAATACTATTCCTCTGTCTACAAGTGATGGCGGGGGTTGTGTGTGTGAGTGTCTGTTTGTGAGTTGGAGGATGAATACTATTCCTCTGTCTACAAGTGGTGACGGGGATTGTGTGTGTGTGTGTGTGAATTTGTGTATGTGGCTGAGTGAGTGTGTGAGTGTCTATACAAGAGCCTCAGAGAGAATGGTGTATAGTGGTCTCCGCCTAAACGCACGCCATACAATAGCACGCTCCGCTCAAACACACGCTTTCGTAATCTGGCGAGTTTTTTACTACATAATTTAGACGTCACTCTCTCTCTCTCTAAACGCACGGTCCGATCCGCGAAACACAGCGACAATTTAAGCTGAACAAAGGGAAATCTGCACAGCTTGCATAAGACAAGCTTAGACAGTATGCTATTTGGTGAGACTGCCCCTCACGCCGAACAAAGAGATTGATGGACAGCGTTTTCACACCCAACTTTCCACAGACAGGACATAGGTTTAGGACTGGTCGGTGAAATGTTGGGGGGTTGGGGGACTGAAATGTTATTTGATTGGTCACTGGGTTTCTGACTGGTGTTTTGGTAACTGCATGTAATATTTGGTTAGACCTAAGCCCATGATGCGAAACATGCACGAATGCTCGTCCATGAATTTACGGTCGGGGGTGGTCGCTTGAAAAGTCACGTGGCTGGGCCGTTGATTTTATGACTATCACCAACAGTTTCCTCATACGCTATCTGTTCCCGACATTTTATGGTGCACATCAACACATTGAGTCTGGAGTTCTTCCCCCCCACACACGCCCATTCAACGCCTTTGTATTCTTAACCGCAGTCAGGGAATCCTTCACAATACAGTCACGTGTCATCACATTATCGGCCTAAAGTGACCCCCCACCCCCAAGGGAGGTCACTAGTATATCAAGGCCATGAGATGACTGCGTCCCTTCCTCCCTTTGCAAAGGTTCATGTAAACGCACGCTCCGTCCGACCTGACCATCAATGATTTATTTATAGAGGCACCAGCCATCCATGTCCAGGTGCTGTTTTAGCCTCTTTTTCCTGTATTCGGATTAATAATATCTTTTTGCCAATTTTTGGTTCCGCTTCTATGTACCCCATATCTATGTTTCTCAACCTGGAAATCGCCTATAATTCGCTGTAATTGCCTCCCCCCTCCCCCCCTCCCCCCACCCATTTATGTTACCATCTATTTTTATCGATAACACGTTTATGGATTAAGGGCAGTATTAATGATAATTAAGAGAAAAAAACATCAATTAAATAATAAATAAATAAATAAATACATAAATAATACATAAATAAATAAATAATGCTAATGATTATCATAATACAAATATTGATAATGAAAAGAAGAAGAAGAAGAAGAAGAAACACGGTCATAACATCAATATAAAAAACAATAATACTAACAATAGAATTGATCTGAGTAAAATAATGAAATAATATTAAAATAATAAATGGAGCAATATTATAAATCAAAATTTCTAAAAGGACACTACTTGGAATCCGCCAATTGTATGGGATCAGATACCTTGTATGAATATGTTAAATTAGATAATTCAATCCATACAATTTGAGGTTATATCATGTTCAGATCACCATTCTTTTTTTTTTTCAAGAGGAAAACAGATGTCTATTCTCGTTTTGTGTTTGGTCATTCTATTACGCACGCTCCGTATAAACACACTAAGGAGCCCTCCCGAGCTCCATGTGTTTAGGCGGAGACTACTGTATGCACGTAACGACCAGCACCAGGTCGTGCTGAATGAGTTGAAAACTGTTTGAAGCTGTTGTGTGTAGTAAACATGCTGTAAGTATCTTTAAAAAATCAAATTCAGCATTTCTTTGCAGAGATCATGTACTTCACATGAAGAAAAATTTCCTGCAACTGTACAAAATAAACTGTTTAGAACTTGAGCTTTTTTGACAGACAACAAATCATTGCGTCAACGTCATTTCATGATCATCCAAATCAGTTTCTTGGAGTTTCCTGATATGTTTGTTTTAGTAGAGGTTTTACGGCGCTCGCAACTGCATAAAGTCATATGAGCTCCAGAAGATTAGAGGTGTCACATGAGAGTAACAAACATAAAAAAGAAGAAGGGGAGATAAGGATGATAGATGTTTGATAGGAAAGAAGGAGCAAACTGCACCAGAGCACCCGCCAACCACCCATGTTTTGCAGATAGAGCCGTCGAATGAATAAAAAAGATATCAAGCGGCATCTTACAATATGGTTTTATTCTGTTTCGTTATTTCCTTCTCAGATTTTAATTGGAAAAATAATGAGTGCCTTCGTCTTGGATCTGATCTGGCTTGGGCGCTTTCTTTTTTTAAAATGTTCCCAGAACTTTAAAAAAATGACTGGGGTGATCATGGAATTATGATTTTCCCAGCACTTAAAAAAAATGAATGGGGTGATTATGGAATGATAACTTTCCCAGAACTTCAAAAAAATGAATGGGGTGATTATGGAATGATGTTGACAATCAGTGTATGTCTCAGTGTCTGTGTCTGCGTGTTTTTTTTAGTCCAATGTTCCTATACAGTAGGCTGGTACAGTCAAAAGTGTCCAAGACTGCGCCACTTATCTCTCCTCCTTCTTTTTTGTGTACGTTACTCTCTTGTAAGACATTTATTCTTCGGTACTTATACGACCTTATTGTGTTTCAAGTGCTGTAAAACTCTTACTAAAACTAAACTCATTATTGATGAGAAAAGTACCGTAGTTGTTTTGTACAGTTGGCCAATAGAGCAGGTCTGACTGTATTCTGTAAGGAATGTGCACACTGATGATACCGTGTATTCTGTTGTTTCTTTATTCTGTCGTAAGCTGACAAAATGCTTTTTTTTCTTCAGCACAGTTTCGAGAAAAAGAGGTTTTTTGACAGAGTAATCATTTAAAAATAGTTATTCCCAAATTTAAATTCTAATTTATTAAAAAAACTAGTCAGTTTCAAATTTGATTTTTTTCTCACAAGTTAAGTAGGGCAACTGATCAAGATCAGGCTTTCGATTTAGCAAATAAAAAAAATTGGCACCAAAATGAGAAAAGGCATTTCGTCAGCTTATGGCAGTATTCAACAATGGAGGACTTTTTGTTTTGTTTTGTAGAGGGGAGGTGGGGGGGGGGGAGAGCTGGGATTAGGAATATTATGTACTGCTATACCTTTGTCGTATTGAACAACAATATGAATAAACAAATGAATAACTCATTCTCTAAAAGTGTTTTTGTAAGTGTATTACCATTACCATGTTGCAGGTATTTGTGGGGGAAAATTGTTTTATCAAGTGTCTCCTACTGTCTGTTGTTGTATCCCACTCAGCCTGGGTTGGCCCTGACAGGCAGGGTTAAAGCAGCCAGCCTCCTAACTGAGCTGCGTTGTGTGGATGGGGCAAACATTCACAGGCAATCCATCGAGAAGAAAGACTATTACTATCCAGTAATCTGTCTAAAATAGGACAGTAAACAAAGAAGGCACAGCCCTCACTTCTACTTTAAGCTACAGTGCAGCCCTTCTATAACGACCTTCGATATATAATAACATCCTGTGTATAGCGAACTGAGGCCCAGGTCCCGATTTTTTCTTTACATAATATCATAAATAATTTTTCGTTGCCTCTCTATAACAACAACTCTATACACATACATATATAACGACATTTTTTCTGGTCCCGATAATGTCGTTTTAGAGAGGCTGCACTGTAGTTTTGATTCTTCCTCCGACAACAAGTGTGAATCATGAACAACAACCACAGTGATTGTAGTATTTTTGTATAGGTTTTCTGTAGTAAAAACTTGGGTGTATTATTATACGTGCAAATCGACTGCTTTGGGTGTAAGTCTTTGCCATACGACATTTTGAAAATTGACATATGATGGAGTCTAACTGAGCAGTCGATAGAGGGATGTGTCATGACATGGTGGAATCAGGCGCTCGTCAATTTTTGGACATGAGGAGTTATTGGTCTCATCTTAAAGCTTGTTCAGTTGTCTTGCTATTGGTGAAAAACGTGCCCATCTATCTTGAATAGAAGTCGGAGATATTTGAGATTACAGAAGGTTGGGTCGCCTGGTTTCAAAGGTAGAATTAGCGAGAAAATGGCTGCCAAAGTTTGGTTATTTCCCTACCTTGAGAGTCGGTGGAAACAGAAAAGGTACATTTTTTGTGCCTTTAATCAACGTTTTTCAGTAAAAATCCCCCCAGAAATGTGTTCTTAATTGGACAACAATGCTGTTAAGTGTTAAGCCAAAAAAACAAAAATCCCCCAAAAATTGCCAAACTACCAGAAAAATGCCAGTTACTTCAATTTCATTATTTTGACGAGCGCCTGATGTCACCACGATGCCTCACATATATGTAGGCCTATTTGAAAATATATTATGTACAATGATTGGGCTGGTATGCATGAAACTTGTCACTGTGGGTAGTGTAGTGTAAGTGTAAGTAAACTGTGGAGAAGTTATTCTATTGTGAAACACTAGGGAGTAGGCACAGTGGAAGTAATCTCTATTACTACTAGTAATACTACAGTGCAGCCTCTATCTATAACAACATCGTCGGGACCAGAAAAAATGTCGTTATAGTTAATAACTGTTACAGTTATAGAGAGGCAATAAAAAAAATATTACTAATTATATATATATTTATAAGGAACAAATCGGGACCTGGGCACCATATCGCTATACAGAGGATGTCGTTACATCGAAGGTCGTTATAGAGGGGTGGGCGGCACTGTATTATTATAAAAGAATTTTAAAACAACAAAATCGTAATTCTTACTTCCACCTTGAGTGGGCCAACCAAACAAGTCCATCGTGTAGTAAGAGCTGCTTGGAACAAAACAACACAGAAAAAAATAGGACATAACACATGAAGTTAATTGTCAAATACTTCAATAAAAGCATAATATTTTATTTGAAAAAAAACCCTCGAAGAACAAAATTTGGCTAATACTTCGCATTATTTCATCACAGATCAAGTCTTCCAGAATGATTTCATGTTGAGCATTTTGACTGAAACCTCAAGAGCAGTGGAATAACAATAAAATGTGGTTTTCTTCAGAGTGACTTCCACGCTCGCTTTGCATAAAAGTAAATCGTAATCTGTCACAAGGAACATGGCATTTGCTGTAAAGTATTATAATTGTTATAAATGTATCTAAAATCAACACTGGTCCAGTGGATGGAAAGTCACAACACAAAATGGACTCCTGTACAATATAAGTAAAAAGCCACAGTTCAGAAGGATCCCATGAGTGCAGAGTGGCCCAGTGTTATTTGTTACACTCAAGGGACAAGTGTTGGGAGGGCGTCACTGACTGGTAGTTTCTATCTCTATATACTCTCCCCTCTTTTGTTTCTGTCTATAAGATCAGTCTTGCTTTTTTAAAATTCCCAGCACTAAATCGCCATTATTGTGTTGATGTGTCTCTCTTTTTCCCCAAACAAAACGAACTCTCATGGGAAATAATAACACTTATAGCACACATGAGAACATTCTCTCTTTTGCGCTCACTCACACATTTACACAAACACGGACACAGACAATCTCGGCAAAATTACCATGTCAAAAAATAGTAGTAAGTTGTAAGTAATGTAAGTAGTCCTTCGACCATGTAGACATCCTGAGAGAAAACACCCTCTCTATTATTAATTATTATGACCAGTTATGCGAGACTGAGTGATTTGGTTTTCCTGATGCAGGTCTCTAGTGAGAAACTACATGTACTGGTATTGAGTGGTTTGGTTTCCATGATACAGTATAGGCTCCTTTTTTAGCTTCTTTCCGACTTCTGGTATGTGACTGTTGAAGTTCTCAGTCAGAGGGGCAACTAAATAATGGTCACTTTTAAGCACAAGGGGGGGGGGGGGCTATCCCAAAAAATGCTGAGAGAAAATCGAAGGTAAAGTTGTTGGAACCTTGTCAAGTTTCTTTAAAAGACAAGGAGAGTTTTCTCTATAACCAAATTCTTCCTATAAGATAGGGCAAAGCCCACTTTTGGTGTAGGTCGAGATAACTGAAAACCCTCGAAACTGGGTTAGCCCGCTTGTCCTTAAGAGCAACCAAATATTGGCAATGGTTTTTTGGTATGGTTGGTGAACGATCTCTCTATTAGGTACAGGCAGGTGCGGAAAACTCAAAACGTTAGAGATTGACAAATATGTTCAACACATCCATAAATTGGGATAACCGACTACAAAAAATTAAAGACATATAAATAGGGGGAATGGCAAATTTTATGGGCTATCTATCTCTATTCTATGATTTCCAGTTTTCCGTGTTGGTGTTTCTGTTACCTGTTTAGTTAGTTTTAGTAGAGGCAGGTTTTACAGCGCTCGCAACTGCATACGGTCATATGAGCGCCAGAAGATTAGAAGTGTTACAAGAGAGTAACAAACATAAAAAAGAAAAAGGAAAGACTGTCATCTGTGCCCAGCTGTACCATGATATAAAGTAAAGTGTCCTTTATGTGGCCTGAAACATGGAAAAGTATAACACAACTGTATCCAACTTTCCTGTGGGATAACACAAAAGAGGTCTTTTTCTTTTCTGTTCTTTTCGTACATTTTCAAAAGATTTGTCTCACTCACTCGCACTCATTGAGAATGGTTGCAGCGCATGCATGAGTGCTAGAGCTAGGGGCTATATGACATCATCATTTATTGTGGAGGAGGCGTTGAACAGTGCCATAATAATAAGAAAAATAGATAGCATTTGTATAGCGCAAATCCCCACTCAACAGCAAGCTCTATGCGCTTCACAATCTATACTATAACTATATAACTATTACCCCAGCAGACCTGAGAACATTCTGATTTGTATAGCGCAAATGCTCGCTCAACAGCAAGCTCTAAGCGCTTCACAATCTATACTATAACTATTACCCCAGCAGACCTGAGAGCATTCTGAAACAATTTCAACTTCCTGGGAAGCATACAGTGCAAGCGGCCATTTTTAGGCGCTAAAACACTCATATATATATATACTGACAAGATCTTTCGCTAGTCATGAGAGAGAGAGAGAGAGAGTAGAGGCTATGAGATGATGGTGATGTCATCAATGTTTGTGCTGCCACTTGCACAGTATGTGTATGAGAGAGAAAGAGAGAGAGAGAGAGAGAGAGAGAAAGCGAGACAGAGAAAGAGACAGAGAGAAAGAGAGAGAGGGAGGCTAAACAATGACGATGATGACATCATCAAAGTTTGTGCTGCCACTTGCGCAGCATGGCGGAGCAGCTCTGCGGCACCTCACCCGTGAACCGGTACGGCCGGCTGGGAAGTGCCGTCTGCAGGGCCGGGGCCTAGGAGGAGGAGCGGGCAGCCCTGGCCACACCCGCCCCCAGCCGGTCCAAGGCCTCTTCCACCGGTCCCATGATGTCCTGGGGACGCCACAAGGTTCTAGTTTTAGTTTACATTTAATAAGGTTTTATTATAAATATGGTGATGTCTTGCTATTTAAAAGATACGCACAGTAGAATTGTAAATGGGCTGATTCATGCCACGCTCATAACTGTGCCTGATCTACAACAGGGAACTGCTGCTTTTTCTTTCCTATTCCTTACTATTGTCATTTTCCTCTACTTCTTTTGTATGTTTGTCACTCTCTTGTGAACTGCTATTTCCGGGGTGCCTTGATAGTCGAAGCAGACCTTGTGCTGTTGAAGCTAGAGGGGTAAGCAGAGTAAGTCTGATTCCCTGTAAAGACTTCTCTGTTTACACCCATCCCTTGGCGCTCATGTGACCTTATGCAGTTGCGAGCACCGTAAAACCCTCTACTAAAACAATTTTAAAAAAGATACGGTACAAATCTTTCAGTACTTTCAGCATAAATGCTATACAGTGCAGCCTCTCTTTAACAACAGCGTCGGGACCAGAAAAAAAAATGTCGTTATAGTTATAGAGAGTTGTCATCATAGTAGAGAGGCAACCAAAAAATATTACTAAGGGGCTGTTCAAATATAATCTTACACCTGGAAGGGTGGGTGGGGGTCTTTGACTCCGGTAAGAAAAGTGTACGAAAGGGGGGGGGGGTGTCTTGAACGAGTGTAATATTACACTTTTGAGAGGTGAAAAAATTACAAGGAAAAAATGTTGGCCTTAGTTCTAGTAGAGTTTTTATGGTGCTCGCTACTGCAAAAGGTCATATAAGAGCGCCAAGGGGTGGATGTCAACAGAGAAGTCCAAACTGGGAATCAGGCTTACTCTGCTCACCTCTCTAGCCTCAACAGTAACAGCACGAAGTCTGCTTTAGCTATCAAGGCACCCCAGAAATAGCTGGTCACAAGAGAGTGACAAACATACAAAAGAAGTAGAGGGAAAATGATGATAGCAAGGATAAGGAAAGAAAAAGCAGCAGTCCCCCCTATGTTGTTCCGGCACAGTATGAGCATGACATTGATAAACCAGCCCATTTACAATTCTACTGTGCATAAGAACATGAGAATATTCTCTCTTTGGGAATGACCTAAAGACAACTTCAGTCAGTAGCACTGCCCTGGTGGGGGAAGGGGGAAGGGGGCACACGGTTTGATTATGATAACGTCTTGCCATCTAAAAAAAATACTGTACAAATCTTTCAGAACTTTCAGCAGAATATGCTATAGGTAATAGGTATAAGTAAGCATTAGACAAATAATAAGTACCGTTATCAACTCGTGGGAAATTATGAGTCAGTGGAGGGAATCACATTAAAATGATGATATGTCCATCCAATACCTCTGCTGTTCATGTGTGTGGGTCTGTGTTTGTGTGTGCATGTACGTCAAGTATGTGTATTTGTGTGTGTCTGTGAGTGTGTGTGTGTGTGTGAGAGAGAGAGAGAGAGTAGGCCTATATTGTGTATTTTTACCATGCCAAAGCAAATTTGTCTTTGTGGATAGACATGTATATAAATTCTTCTCTTATCATTTCACTAGATTTATACAGACAAAAAGACAAATGCAATGAGCAGTTACCAAACAATGAAAACTAAATTAATATTAAAAATGAGATTGTGAGTTGAGTGGTATGCTTCAGAAAATTATGCAAACTAACAGTTTTTATTACTTTTACTTTTAAGAACAAAAACGTCAATAAATAAGTTCTTATAGGCATTAGCAAGGGGTCGTGACATGCATTGGAAAATTAGAATCCTAATTTCTAGACCCGCATTTTACAAACTAGTAGAAGACCATTTTGTTTCCAAACAAACTTCTTGCACTGTTTGTGTGAGTGATTGTGTGAGTGATTGTGTGAGTGATTGTGTGAGTGATTGTGTGAGTGATTAACGTCGCTAACAGGGAGTAAATGTTAAACATTTAACAAGCCTGCCTATCAAAAGAGTTACGTTAATCTAATCTGTTAATATTACAAAACAGCGATGAAGAGATATATTTAGAATGTAATTGTTCAAATTACAAATGTCAACGTTGATTCTAAATCAAATAACATAGACATTGGAGTAATTTGTTTTTATTAATCTGTTATATGATTCTAGGAAAGCAAGTTTTACTCCAAAAGCTGGCAATCAATATCACCATATGTTCAAAGAGACCATCTTCACTCAATGAATTCATAAATAATATAATTCTAGAGACTAGATCGAGAATAGTTTACGTTATTTAGCTTACAACATACAATTGATATATATTAGGTTTCCCTATATATTATCATGTGCACATGCCTATACTATGCTGTGTAAGAAATTGAAAAGTAAATGAAAAGTGTGAAGAAAGATTGTTCTTCAACTTGAGAGAAAAACAAACCAAGAAGTAGGCTTATATCATTATTATGTATGGTGTATAAATGTTAGGTGTAAAGATAATATATCCTGCGACACCCAAAAGGGTATAAGTGGCAGATTAAAAAATATATATAAATATATATGTTAGGGATAAAGGTGACTAGTACGAGAAACAGAACAGTGGTGTTAATTCGAAAAAAGACTATAAAGAGTAATACATTTTTTATCCTGTATTTTACAATCGCATTTTTGCAGAAAATGAGAAAAAATAGCTTCAGAGTTATTATATATAGCAATAAAAGTCAAGATAAATAATGTGATCTCAGATGGATGGTTGACGGATGCTTTGGGTGGGGAGGTTTGCTTATATTATGTTCTATAAAACATCTGTTGCCATTATGTCTCCTCCTTCTTTTCTTTGAATGTTACTCTCTAGTAAACCTCTATATATATATATATATATATATATATATATATATATATAACATAATATATGTTTTTCAAGTGTCATAAAACTCTTACTGAAACTAAAACCAAAATGATCCATGAACTAACACAGGGTAAGATGAAGAATGTGAACAAGAACTGCAGTATAATTTAACTCGTACGAGGCGATGACACCAAGCAGTGATACAAATGTGGCGTTAGTCGTAAGTCTGAGCAAGGAGAGAGGGATGAGAGGAGAAGTTTGAGGGTCTGGTTTAACCCGCTTCTCCTTAATATAATGTTTGTGACAAATGTGTTGATAGATATGTGGTGTTAGCTGCAAGTTTTGAGCAAGCACAGAGGTATAGTTTAATTTTAGTAAGAGTTTTACGGCACTTGCAACACAATAAGGTCATATAAGTGTCGAGGATTAGAGGTGTTACAAGAAGGAGGAGAGATAAACTAAAGACGATAGCTGTTTGACAGGAAAGAAGTAGCAAACTACTCCAGAGCACCCACCAACCACCCACTTCTCCTTGTATCTTTTGGAACAAATGTGAAGATAGGTATGTGGTATTAGCCGTGAGTTTTGAGCAAGCAGAGCGGGATGAAAGGAGAGGTTGGAGGGTGAGTTTTACCCGGTTCTCCTTGTATCGTTTGTGAACCTCAGACAGGAGCAGAGGGCCAATGAGTGCTGCCTGCATCTCCACATTTATATCATCTGTCGGGGGCAGAAGGCACAACGCTACAACATCACACAACAGTACGCTTCTAAAAAGCAATATGATGAGGCACACTAAGAAGCAAATATTTCAGCACACTGAAACCAAGCAACCTTATGACTTCAGGAACAAGCACACTCAACAGATTTTCCAGACAACATGGCTTTGGACCACAAGAGGACAGCTCACTCAGAGACGATAATGAGAGAAATGTAAGCAGAAAAAACTCTTCTTATCAGCACGACTAGCAAGACATTCATGTAGGCCCTATAATCATCAAAGACTGCTGATTATATTATAATCTAATATGGATTCCTTCCTATGGCTTCTTGTAACTGTTTTGTTTTGTTTTGCTTTTTTGGCTGACGCAGACTAAAAAGAGTGCTGTTCGAACAAAGCAACACGCCTATATAATTCAAGTAAAAAGTGTTTTAACATCTGGAAAATTCAATGGGATTTAACCCCCCCTCCCCTTCTGCTTATTAATATTATATACACTGTGGCCCATATCGATATGACGAAAAACATTGAATTTATGACATACATAATTTCATAAACTACAGAAAAAGCAAAAATAAACAGACCCACAATAATTTTCCTTCAAAAAGAACTACTCCTAATATTTCAGTGACTTAGATAATCACTAAGTGTCAACAATATAACGTTTTATTGTCCCCCGGTCCCTTCAGCTGAGACTTATTACAGCCAACTCCGTATTTTTGTTCACCCACGCCTTGTTCTGTCCCCATTGTTTTATGCACCCCGCATAATTTAACAAAATTTGATCATTTTTTGCGTAATCTCTTATTATTTTTTCCTTTGTCATTCTTTGTTAAAATTAACAGAATCGCATAATTTCACATTTTTGGGGTCAGTCTGCATAATTTCAGAATTTTTCTTGCATAAAACGACGGGGACAGCTTGTTCCTTGTCACGTAACTATGTATTTATAAGTATGGTCATACATCAGTTCAACATTTTTTTCCCTCACGTATTCTGGAAAATTTATGCTGTAGAGAATTGAGATGATACTCTTTTAACTTTAGCTTTTTTTACTAATTTTCTGACACGCATTATAACAGTTTTGTGTGAGTTTATAACGGGTTAGGGAACTGGAGGGATTTTTTTCTGTTCACGGTCGCACTAATCTGAGTGAAAGCGAGCAGCTGTATGATATCAGGAACAAGGGTCAAACAAAGAAGTCCAAATTTTAAAAAATCCTGACCCAAGAAATAAGGAACTAATCTTGGGTATGTGACACGTGCATTGTTCCTAGAATCAGTAGCCTAGGCCTACATAGTCAATTTTAAAACTGGCATACAGGAAATTTAAAAAACCCACAACCAATGCAGTCATGATGTAAAAATGAGAATGACACGTTGGAGAAAAAAGTCTGAGAAGGTGCTTGACAAAGTCATTAATAAACATATATTATTATTTAAACAAGAGAGCGTGAGAATAATATTAACGGATCCTGAAGTAAAACTCTATCCTATCTAAGAGATCTAAATTTTCACCTTATGTAGGACAGTATTTTCTTAAATTTGAAACTAGCTCTCACTGACTTTCAAAGAAATAAAACTGAATCACATAACAGCCATACTGAGACCCTGACAACTTTGCACATTCAATTTTGACCACACCTTACTGAAAAAATAAAACTCACAAAGTTTAATGAGCGGGAAGTGGAAGAAGTTTCTTTTCTTTGAACGAATGTTTTGGGGATTTTTTTTTTCAATCTATTAAGAAATATTCTGAACTAAGAACCCCAAAACGAATCTCAGACTTTTCTTGTAAAAAGCGAATAAAATCACAATAGAACATCATACACATATATACACATCATACACATATATACACATCATACACATATATATACACATCATACACATATATACACAACATATAAGCATAGTAACATTTTGAACACACCAAAAGGAAAAAAAAACCCAGGATAGACGATAGCAATAGAATATGATAATGAGCACACAAAATAAAACTCATAGCTCCTGCACATCTATCAAGCTCGGGCAGGTAGAAAAGCCTGGGTTAGCGTGGCCATGTAACAAAAATGTAGGCGTCTATAAATAAACACGTGTACCGGTACCTGATTCTCAGAAAATTTTCTTCTTATTTCGTACATCACAGCAGGAAATTTGGCCGCCTTTAAGTCTAAGCAAATTTCATCTAGGGGAACAAGACAATTGTGTTAGAGAAGCCTAAAATTGAAATACCACCAAAAAAACATTTGTGAGGCAGCGTGGCGGAATCAGGCTCTCGTCAAAATAATCAAAGTGAAGAAACTTGCATTTTTCCACAGGTTTGTGAATTTTTATCAAATTTGTGTTCTTTGGCTCAACACCTTTCATGCCCATTAAAGAACTCATTTCTGTGGGGATTTTTCTGAAAAACCCTGATTAAAAGCACAAAAAATGTAAATGTTCAGTTACCACGGACTCTTAAGCTAAGGAAATAACTAATCTTTGGCAGCTATTTTCTCATTTATTTTATCTCTAAAAACAGGTGACCCTCTCTTTCTTCATTCACAAATATCTCTACTTGTATTCAAGATAAATAGATATTTTTTGCTACCAAATAAAGAGAAGTGAACAAGCTTTAAGATGATGCCAATAACTCTACATCCCAAAAATTTGACAAGAGCCTGATTCCACCACGCTGCCTCACATTTTAAAAAAAAAGAAATGTAAAAATCTTACTTATTAAACAAAACTTTGTTCTTTTCTTATTCACTGTAATATATTATAGAGTATAGAGCATTTCAGAAAAGAACATTGAAATCAAAATGTGAATGTCGTGCATATCCAATTGTGAAAAGGGAACCAGTTCCCAACCTCAGTGCTTTCTTGTCGCGTCTCCATTTTCAATAGTGAGCTTAAGAAGAAGTCACATTTTCACTGTTTGAAAAAATGGAGATACGACAAGAAAGCGCTGAGGTTGCGTGTTGTTGACTAGAATATTACAGCTGTCGAGACACGGAGAGAAGAAAAACTTCCACAGAAGGAACTAGTTACCCCCTCCGACAGCCAATAGTGCTTTAGGATTTGATTAAATTTCAATTGAACCAATAATTTAGTGAAGTCCAAACATTGAAAAAGTAAAGATGGAAAAGATTAGATCGAGAGCATCTGCGAGGAGATGAATGTAATAAACTTTCCCGACTGTCTTGTTTGCTTCCAGTTCCTAAAGATGCTAGAGCAGAGTCCGCTTAATCCAAACAAGTTTAATCCAAAGACAGTGATAAAGCGAAAGAAAATCAAAGCTTGACTATTTTCTTCCAAATTACAGCTATTGTTCTAAACTGAAAAAAAATCAGGTGGTTCCACGGATTTTGGTTTAACGG